TAACTGGGATTGACAAAATCAAAATAAGAGTCCCTTACTCTCTAGAGACTCTTCTTTGAAGATTCATTTTCTCCAAAGCATTTTTTCCTACTTCTCTGAATTCAGGAAATTGGCTTAATGCAAGATCATAATTCTTTGCATGATTATTAATTACATGAGATTTCCTTTGCTGATGCTAACATGTCAATTTAATACTCATTTTAATTCTTCCAATTTCATTATATTTTACTTTTCTTTAGAACTATATTTTCTGTTTTAACAGCTTTGGATAATATTATCAGTCTGTTTTGTGTGTTTTGTGTGTGTGTGTGCAGCCTGTGAAGTTTCTGGTTTCCTTAGGTGATTGAAGCAAAATGGTCATGCTCTTAGCTTCCTATTTCCCAACATATCTTCCTCTATCAATTAATACTCTATCAACTTCAACCATTATCAGTGGGGAAAAAAAGACTGGAGGAAGACTTAATGACAATATACAAGTGGTTCTGACTGGGACATAGCACCAACCATTCAGACTCTAAGATAAGCTGCAGATAACACAAATAATGTGAAATGGACATTCCAGTTCCTGTTTACACAACCATTTCAAAAGAGTTGGTTGTTGCCTAGCTCAGCTTATATTTACACATACATCTGAAGAGCTCATTTTCAGAAGGCAAATTTTGCCACAGTAGCAAGAAAAGAGCAAAGTATTTCTGTCCAGATTTGCACATATTGCAATATGATTAGCTCATGCACAAACATCGATCTTGCCCATCCCAATCCCCTCTCCAAAAATTGGAATCATCCACTTGGATTGAAAAATGGGCCATACTTTTGTCTTCCAAATGCCGATTCTCTAACTCTGGAAAAGTTTGCTCAGAACTTTGCTTCCTTTTTGTACTAGTTGTGAGAAAGGATTACCATTGAACATATAGGTAAATAAACAGAAAATTATTTTCTAACCAGTGGTTTTTGCATATATCACAACTGAAGTAATTGGAGGCAGGGTAGCATTTCTCTGACATGGTACTAAGTGATTCCCTGACTGATAAAATGAAGAGGCTGAATCATGTTTGACATGTAGTAATCAAGGCAATATCTACACTTGGCTAAGTTCAATATGTCTTCTGCTGTGGGTCCGTTTTTTATGTTTCACTTTCAGTATTCTCCATTCTGCCATCTCCCTTCGCTTCTGAAGTTGAGTCTGGCATCAACTAATGGTAAGGGAGTTAGTCGGCCAGAATTGCACCCAGACATTAAAAAATTATGAGACTTTTACCAAGACTGAAGGTGAACGCACTCCAGCTTATGCTGAACATAATTATTAGAAAGGATAATACTGTTCCATAAGTGGTCATCTGCAGTTAGCTCTGTTATCAGCACTGCTCCTATTTTCCTCTCCAACAGCTTTGCTTCTCCAGAGAAATACTTGTTCATTATCTCTCATGGCAACAGAAGGATATCAATTCAGTGATTTATCCAATCTGGACCAAGCTCAGGAGAAGCCAGTTCTATATGTTTGTAACAAAAGCTGTCTGGGCATAGCAGCGATCGAGTAGAACCTGTAATGCTACTAAACCATCTTTCCCCTACTTCCTCCAGTTTTCTTGGCATTTCAGGCTTAGAACAACAATCATTATTTTAAAGATATGCATGATTAGAGTTTTAAAAATGCATTTTAAAGCAAGCAATTCTAAATCTAGGATGAAAAAGAAGCCAGAGGATCCAAGCAGTGCTTTCATTTGCAACATAAATGTCCTCTTAAAATAACGATACCTGGAAACAGACTCACTTCAAGGAAAGGCGGGGGGAAACCCATAGGAATTACAAGATGTATTTGCACCATTGTAAATAACTTAAGGTATGTTTTTAAATCTGTCTTTGGTTATTACATACATAAACACATCTGTATGTATATGTATGTAAGCAACAAAATGTGCTTCATTGTGGCTATACAATTTCATTGGGTAGGTTAAAACAAAACAAAACAACCTCAACATCTTGGAAGGCACTGGCCAAAAGTCAAGGATGAAAAGAATACCAATTCAACCCCAGCAAATTTTAGCTTTGAGTTTGAATAATTGAGCAAGAACAAAGAGTCTTGTGGCTGACCAAGAGATGTAGCATGGCCATTAATAGTGATGATATGGTAAGATATTCAAAAGCAGGGAAAGGCCATGTTATCCAATAAGCTTTTTGTATGAATGAGAAGTACTTCAGGTCCAATATCATTTCCATGTATACTTTCTACGCTCTATTTTTTTCCTTCTCTGAATATCTGTTGCTGATGAATTTATGCTGGCTCCAGAGCACTAGCCAAACAGTCACAGACAACGTGGCATAAGGAAGACAAGAGGTTTTACTCAGACTAATGTGGAATGAATCTGGGGGTTTTCAGCAAGTACACTACAGACAGTTGCCCACATCACAAAAGTTGGCACAATTTTGTAGTTTCTGCTCAGAAGAAACCAGGGAGATTCTGAGAGTGTATTCGCAACCAGTACGATTGATTATCACTGGTAGTATACCCAAGGATTAATGGAGCTATTTTTACCATACATCAGAGTTAGTTAGATTTATAAGAGTTATGTATTTATAATCTCCCAGTTTACTCCTGTAGAAATCTATACAAAGCCAATGAAGCAGAACTACTATCCTTAGCACCAGTGCAATTGTGTATATAAGCAATCTGGGGGGAGGAAGTAGACTTGGAAGTTGTCTTTTTAGTTGCTTAGTTGAAAACGAGGATTCACTTGGGGGAGAGTTATATGTACATAAAGGAATTTGAATGAAGTTCGCTTTTGAGAGATTAAGAATTTCTTAGTCTCAAGAGCAAAGTTTACTGAAAAGCAAGCAAGTGCACCATTGGTTCTACTTCCAGATTTGTCAAGTATTTTTTTTTCTACAATAGGTCCAAGCACCACATTTGCACTTTGCAGCCATAATTATTAAAGCAGTATTATGCTTTTGACTCTTTAGATTATATTATGAGGACCACAGAAATCTTACTTCTAAGAACATCAGTAATATGCCTCCAGTATTGGCTGAGGAATGGGTTGCATTCAACAATTGTATACCTTCCAAGCTGCACTATTGTTTGCAATTAAACAACTGGTGGGCCATTGTAAATGGCAGAGGCTAAATTAATATGTAATTTCTGAGATCGGGGGGGCTTTTCCCCAAAATTCTGGCTTAGTATTAAATCACGACACTAAGACCACAGAAAGTTTGATTCAAACATAATCTGAAGTTGTTAATCAAATTGGATTGTCTTCCTCTTTCGAAATCTTCAGGTTGAAGTAATGACCTACAGTTTGCTTTCCAGATTTTCTTGTAACAAAGCAAATGAAATTCATAGCACTTGAATTATTCATAGGTGGCATATTTGGATTAAAAGTAGTTTGGATTAAAGAACTGAGCATATGAAGTTGAAATGTGTATAATATTTTAGCAGGCTTTTGTAAAGGCAATCACCCTTGTGCCAGAGGGGGGGAAAACCATGCAGTTCTTGGTGTTGCAACCAACAGTTTCTCCCTGATGAAGCTGCATCATACAGTTCTGAAATTCCCCATATTTTCCAGAAGGTTCTGGCTCTCCTATAACATCAAGCAGGAACAGAACAAAACAAAACAAAGCGAAACAAAACAAAACAGGATTCTTCACATTTGCTGGCTATTTCAAGTGTAGAGGCAATGCATGGGGTATATTTGGCTGATGAGAAGTATCTTCTGGAATTGTCAGGGGATTGCAGGCATTTCAGTTCATAATGTGTAGCAAGATGTATTTGTTATCATATGTGCACTAGTTAACAGGCATAAAGATCAGTAATCTGCTCAAGACAAATCCTAAAAACAGGTGGTATTTTTAGGACGCTAGTTGATGAATTATAGCATTATACTTTCTTTTAATTCTTCAACCATTGCAACCACTTGAAGTAATTTCAGACATGAAATGTACACTTGCAGAGTCATCAAAGGTGCTTTGTATGAGCTTAGTGGCAGATATTTTAACAGCCATCATTGTGAAGTAGAACATTTTCACTTCCCCCAGCTCAAGTACATAAACACTAAAGAATGCAGTTAGGTTTCTGCACATAGCCTATGAAGAAGAACTTTGGCTATCATCTTCATGGGTTGGTTTGGCACAGTGCTGCCTCCACTAGGGTGGATAATATTCTTTAAAGTTTAGAAGAAAAGAAACTGAAGAAAAGAGACGTCATCGTTGTCCAAGCCATCTCAATAATTGGCTTATTTTAAAGATTGGATGTTGCAGAGCTACCAACTGAAGACTTCATTGTGATTTGGGGGAGTAGAACAGCTCTTAAAATAGCTCATATTTTTTTCAGTTGGTTCCAATGAGAAATGGGGAAGCAGGAAAATAATCAATGGGGGCTGCTGGATTTAAACCATAATTTCATTCTACCTTGCTATTCATTTTTTAAAGATCATCTCCGTTGCTGCATCCTCCAGCCATACATGGATTATTGGGATGGTATACAAAAAGATCACAGCTTCTTTTTTCTGCCCTGCTTGGTTTTCAAGTCCTCTTTACAGAATAAGCAGTTTAAATGAATAATACTGACCTTAACATTCAAGTGATATCCTCTGCATTTGTGTATGTTTCTTTCTTGCTGAGACTAAATACTATAATCTCTCAGGATAAACGCTTGGAAATCAGATGTTGAAAGATTTAGATTAAACTGTTTAGGATGAAAATAATTCATCATTGGATATGGGATCCACCTATTGAAAGGCAGAGATAACAGTGGCCTTGGAAAACTCATAGTGAATTGGGTGGAATGATATTGGGGTGATCTTGTATGATTACTTTTGAGTCTGAAAAGCTACTGGAATTGGCTAGAAGATTTGCTAGGTTACAGAATCAATTTGGCAAGACTATCCATTTTTTCAGTTATAGTGATCAGTGTTTCTGCAGCTTTCATTACTGAAATGGGAAGGTACATTATTTCAGACAAAGTAGTATCATCGGTATTGTTGATTAAATACTTTTAAAACCATAATAAAAATCCTTCACAAGAAAACTAACAAAGGTCTCCCAGAATTCCATAGATTCAATGGAAAAATAAAACCAAGGGGCCATGTTCTTTGTATTTGGCCAACAGCTCAATGAGTGGAAAGGGGAACAATGAATCAAAGCTCAAGAATGTTCCCTGTGTGGAGAAGATCACGGTGGTCCATGCTTCCCCTTGTCATCTCAAATCTCTCTTTAGCACAACCTGCTGTGCAGAGACACTGGAAAGGCAAGGATTGATGGAGGAAAAGGGGAAAAAAACCAAGAACAACTTCTGGGTTTCTGAGTAAAGAAAGCAACAATCCTCATGAGTGAATGCCAAGGTGCAGCCAGAATTGATGGGACTAGGCAGAAGTCATCTTCTAGCAAGTCTGGAGGGGATGATGATGTGCATAAAATAAAAAGGATGGGTTAAGCTAAATGGGCGTTTCAAAGGCAAAATGCCAAGGGCAGCGAATGGTGACTTGCAGTCAAATAGAGAAGGAGTAACTGCAAGCATAACAAGATATTCAAGGAAGGTCTAAAGGAGGCCCCTCTGCCACAATCCGAGGTGTCTTCCTGGAGAAACAAGAGGAAGAGAGAGGTTTCTTTAAGTCTACTTGCTTTTGCTGAAACTCATATATTTATTTTCTTGCTGAAACTTGGCGATATGTATTTTTAAATTTTGTTTTTTTTAAGCAAAATATGCAAATTGTGCTTTATCCAAGGCCTTGTCTCCTCTATTCCTTGTTCTATTACAGAGGTCTCCAAACTTGGTAACTTTGTGGACTTCAACTCCCAGAATTCTCCAGCCAGGACTGGCTGGAGAATTCTGGGAGTTGAAGCCCACAAGTCTTAAAGTTGCCAAGTTTGGAGACTCCTATTAGAACAGCTTTGAATATCTAGGATTCTGGAATAAACTTTATTTCATAGATTCATTAGTGGGAAAAGAATAAATTGTACTGTTTTCAGGATAAAGAACAAAGCACAATGAGCTTAAAAAGACATTCAGACCAATGTCTTGTTCAAAGAAAAGTTAAAATTCATGCCACTTTTTTGCAGCATTTTATTTAAGAATTAATTTTCAGAAATTCTTTCAGATGGTCTTTTATCATGTATACATACAATAACTCATCAAAATTGCATCGGGTGCAGACATTGCTATGCCTCTTTTCATGCACACTTGTTTTCTCTTCTAGTCTATTATTTTCTTTAGAAAAAAAACACAATTTGACAAGCAGGAAAAAAAGAATAGCTGTATTAATGGTTCTAGAACCTAATAACCTTTTTGTCAGTTAAAAGGGGATATTTTCTAGAGGCAGAGACACAATCCAGATCTATTTAGAATGACTGACAAGACTGGAACCAACTTCTTTACAACTTTCCCCTTTCATTTCCCCCTCCCCCCTCCCCTTTCCTTTCTTTTCCTTTTTCACTATTTACTATTTCTCTTTATTATTTTTATTTTCTTTTATAGCTTTTGCTTTGTTAAAAAATTGTTAATATTTTTTTTTTAAAAAAAGTGAATCCTTGCTTTTACTTACAGTTATGTTATAATCAAAACAGACGTGGGGACCTTTCCGGTAACGTGGCTTCTCTACTAGCTCACATTGATTGCGATCTCCTGGAGGAGCTTTGTGTCATCAAGCAAATGAAGCAGAAGATAAAAGAACATTAGACAGATTAAAACAATGTGAACTAGAAAATTAAAAAATAGGGTTATTTTATTCTCTGATAAAACAATATTGTTTTTTTTTTTAAAAAAAAAAGATTAAAAAAACAAAACAAATACTAAGTGTCAAGCTTTAAAGTGTATTCAAACGGCCTTTGTTTACACTGCTCCGCAGCTTGCCAACAGACCAGGGGGAAGGGAGGGAGAGATTGGAAAGTGCATTCTGGACGATAACAAGAAATAGTCTCTTGAGAACCAAGGACATTTCAGGCGGTGTTCACCAGATCTTCCCACAACAACACCTGGACATCTAATGGGACAATGCGGCCTACACAAATGGAGGTGGGGGAGGGAGGACTCTATAGTTTAACTATTCTGAGTTGCCTGGAAATTCTATAGAGTCAAAATGATGTTCTCAATAAAGCTTTGTGTTAAGAGATTGGATCATCTCAACAGTGCCTGCTTGTTTGTGTTTGTCAGTCGGAACTTTGACAAATACATTGAATTATCTCCAAATATTGAGCTGTTATTCCAACCTAATGTTTGTTTTACCTTTTCAAATGCCAGGCAGTCCTAAGCCTGTGATTGGTTTCTGTCCTTCCTCACTCTCTTGTTTTTGTTTTCCTCTCTCTAAACTCTGTAATTGTATCAATGTGAATGGTAGCTGGTGGGGGGGGGGGGGGGGAAACAGTTTTGTGAAATTTCTCAGTGGCCAGTATATTTAAATGGGCTCTTATAGACATTAAAAAAAAATGTTTCTAAACAAGAAGTCAATAGACTGTCCACCAGATGGCTTCTTGTTTGACTCCCTAGCAGCTTGTCATACACAAAAAAATTGTAATGCATACAAGTGTATTGCTCAGCTGGTTGTTATAGCACAGGAACCGGTGAGAGCACTGGAAAGTGGCTCCAGCAACTCACTGCGCTTTGAATGGAAAGAAAAGAGGACCCGAGCAAGAAGTGTCCCCCCCTCCTTTTGAATAATACTGCTTGGAGGTGCTACCTGTCTCTTTTTATTAGATTCATTTTCCCTCCTGAAAGATGCTTGTGAGGAAAGGAGGGAAACTGCTTTCCTTGCAGTTGGGGGGAAGATGGATGAGGGGAGCACATGTGTGTATGTGTACACATGACAGCAAAGCTCCTATCTTTCAGTGCAGCTCTCTGGTTCTAGGCAGTTTGCCTTCGGCCCGATCTAAATTATATTGATAAACTTTATATACTATGATGTTTAAAAATCTGTATGCAAGTTATACATGGCACCAAGGTTCTGCAGGTTCCTTCTTCCTCTTCTTGGGTCTCCAGAGAAGTTAATCATTGACTAGTTGTCAACTAGTCACGACAACTCTGGATTTCTTCTACCATCTGATGTAATGTATCTCTGGGTATCACTGGCTATGGAAGATGAGTTGGAGAACACGAATGTGCTTTATGGCCTGTTGTGGATTTTCCACAGACCTGTTTGGCTATTGCAGGTAGAAGAGAAGATATGTATCTTGAGCACCAATGTTACCTAGTTGGGTAATAATAAAATGTCTGCAAGCAAACAACTAAGCTCAGAGAGTACCAAGGACTTCACTACTGCAGGTATAGATTGTTGGACCTTTGGTCTGATATAATGTAGCTTGTCTTAAATTGTTACAAAATTCGCTTTTACATTTATCTACATACTCTACAAAATTGTAAAGGATTTGTGTTCAGATTATTGTTTGCTTAAACTATTTGTGATAATCTGAACATCAAACTACTTATGGGAAATGTATCTCAAGTAATATTTATTAAAAAAACACAACAGAAAAAACATCCGTCAATATAGTCATACCATCTGTTATATTGTGACTGATTTGGAATACAGTTGATTACCAATACCTTTTATCTCTGCTTGGAGAAGTTTTGTGGATTCACACTGACTGCATATTGGCTTTTCTGCTACAACAAACAGAAGATTAGACCCAGCAAGCCTTTGTGCATGGAACAACCTGGAGAAAAAGAGAAAGAAGTTGAAGTACTGCTACCCTGTTATCCTATTCTTCATAATTTATAGAGTTGTGCTCCACAAAGAAGTGCTTTGGTTAGTAGGATTTTATTCTTGGTAAAGAGCTTCAGCTTCTGAAGCAGCCATCATAGCTACCTCATTCAAATTTCTATCTATCTATCTATCTATCTATCTATCTATCTATCTATCATCTATCTATCTCTCATTCATCTCTTTCTCTCTCTCTCTCTCCCTCCCTCCTCTCTTATCTACCTACTTATATTTGCCACCCATCTTATTGAGGATGGAGAAGGTCATTTCCCTCCTGTGGTTATAAGGACTGAGCTGAAGAATCAGAATCTTACAGTGTTTACTAACAAGACAGGCTCTTTGTACTAACCTAGAGCAATTTCCACAGTCAATGATGGTGTTGTAAGTATAGTTAACAGAACTAAAATAGTATTGAGTTTGTTTCATGATGCAGCTGGTCTCTCTGGATTCCATGTTTTCTGCTGAAACATCCTCTGTTTGGACACATAGGACATATAATGAGTCGCAAATAAAAGCATGACATTTAAAAAAAATATTTCCTACATCATCTAAAAAAGCAGTTCATCTGGTTGGACTGACTTTTACTAAAGATGTGCTTGTGCCAAATGCTACTGATAATGGTGCAAGAATGTAGGGGGTGAAATTCAACAATTTATCTTACATTTCTCTTTTGCTTTACTGTTTATTTTTTCTCATCTACTTAGACATTTATTTTTTATTTTATTGTAGAAGTATAACGTTTTTATTTTTATTTATGTAGATACTTATATTTTATTTTTATTGTAGAAGTATAACATTTCTCTGCTCAGTCTAGGGCAGTGTTTCTTAAACTTGGTAACTTGAATATGTGTGGACTTCAACTCCCAGAATTCCTTAGCCAGCATGGGGAAATCTAGAGATTTTTTTCTATCAGCCCTGCTTTTTGTTCTGCCATTTTGTACTAATCTACATTAAAGCTTGATGTATTCCCTTGCCCAACTAATCCACCTTGTGAAATTGACTTACATCTGCTATTTTTTCCACTGCAGAAGGTCAATTTAGCAACTTATTGATGGTTCCACTCATTTTTTTTGTCATGATAGATCGGATTTATTGTAATATGCTTTGATGAAGATTTATGTGTGCAGATTTTATGTTTCTGCCCCTAAAGCCCCCTGAAGCTGCACCCAGAATAATTAGGTCACAATCTGCTTCTCAAGCTTAAAGACAGAAAGATGAGGGATGCTTTTGAGAGACCCGAACCATTCAGTTATAGCAAGTAAGCAATTTCAGTAATGTATTCAGTCACATGGTAATGAAGGAGCAACTGACAGTCATAACATTTAGTTTTATTTTCACTTCCTATATTAATCCAGCTATAGTTAATTTGCTTCCTCCTGCTATTTCATCCTTTGGGGGCTGAAAGAAATATACAAATAGGGATTGTTACCTGTTTGAAACCAGCTGTTATAGGCTAATCCATACAAGAACTGCTGAAATAGAGACCTTGTGGGAAGAAATAACAATTAGACGACTGTAAAAGAACACAACTGCATGTCACATCTCCAAGTTGAAAACAAATACCCTTCCCAAAGAAAGTACAAAAATGAATTTGTAGATTTCTAGGGAAATTTAAAAAACAATAAAATGGCTACTTTAAATAATCCCATTAATATTTCTGTAACAGGTTGTGAGATCTGTCCTAGAATGGTTCATGTTTTAATACATCTTAGCTTCTGCAGCTTATCTCATCAACTACAAAAAAAGAAAAGGAGAAAAGAGAAAAGAAAAGAAAAAAAGAGGAAAGGAAAGACTCACCATGCGGCTGCTGAGCTCCACCAAGCCAGGTTCAAGAAATCTGCCATGGTTGGCTAAATATAAAGAAATAAAGAAGTAGGCTTTTAAACAGAACACAGTTGTTGCTATGATATGAATGTACTACTTGGGAAATCCAAGCCCAGTGAACTGCAGTTTTTCATGTGTTAATGGTGTGAATGTCAATTCCTAATTTTCTTTCTCCATGAATGCTGGGCTGCTCCAGTTTGAATTCCCTTGGATGATCCCTTGGAGTGGCCAATCTTGGTAAATATAATAGGTGCCTATTTGAAGGGAACAACTATACAATCCAGCTGGTATCCATGAGGCTTGTTACATCATAGTTGCCCTTTTCCAACCATTCTCAGTGCTTCATCATTTACACTTTCACATATGTGGATTCTGCCCCTCAAACCATGCTAGACGTTTTGTTGTATTTCTTCTGCAATGCTTCTCTTTGCCACCCCACTCCTCTAGATTCCTGCAAGGCTATCAAATGCTTAATTGGTAAACCTGTAGATCTCTGCTGTTACAGCTATCAGCCATGTCTCTGCTTGTTTGTATCCAGAAGGGCACTGTGGTGAAGCAACATACTCTCTTAAAAACAATAATTGAATAGAAGGAGTAGCAATAGGATCACTTGTGAAAGGTCTCATATAATCAGAAAAGAACAACAGGAAATTTTACCATTGCCAAAAAAAGGGGACAGATGAAAGTTGGTAGTCCTTCTGCCTAAAAAAAATAGACTTGGCAGTTTGGCTTGGTCTACTCCATCAAAATGGCTGATAAGTTTAGTCTGGCACAATTTGTTTGTGGCAAATATCCTTCTTTTAACTCAAGAGGGGCAATAGCATGCATTCCTCCCAGCTGAATTTTTTTTTTGGACATTCATAAAGATTTTAATGTTCTATTTGTCTCATAGTAGCCTCCTCAGTCAAATGGAGTGGCTTCTGATTTATATTTTTAGAGGGGGAGAGGGTTGCCTTCTTTGGCACCGTCTTCTTGCCCCTTCACTGGCTACTTTGTAAATTTAAATGTCAACTTGCCATTCAGTGATGTGAAACATATTTACACCTGTATACACAATGCTTCAATCAGGTGAGATCTGATGGCATGGAATCCCTGACTCACCACATAGACCCCACGTGGTGCGCTTCCTGTGTTGCTTGGGGCTTCTGGAGCGCAGACAGACTGAAAGTCGTAGGATTCTTTCTGTGTGAAGAATGAATTGTTGTAGAGAGCAGACATCAAATGGGCATCCACTTCACTGAAGAACTTCCCGACCTGAATATGGAATAGGAGAAAAGACAATCATCAGTAATAGCTACATCATGTTGCTGTGTGTAAGAACGTTATCAGTCATATGCTTTATACATAAACATGAGAAAACAATAATCAGTGAATGGACTGTACTAACAGGCAGTTATATTAGAATATTGAAAATTATAAGTTTGGTAATTACATAAATATAACTGTGAAATGAAGCAAGTATCTCTAACTTTTTTTTTTTTTTTAAGAAAAAGAACAGCTCATCACCTGATATTTGTAGTCTTCTTGGTTGGAGATCACCAGAAATCCACCATCGTCAATAAGCACACAAAGCAGATCCTGCAACATGGGAAGAGGGAGTGGGCGGCTGCAATGACATGGAGTGTTGCTGCTATATTGCTTTTGCTTAAGGAGGCCACTGGCCTTTTTTTCTCCCTTATTTTATTGCACCTTTCTGCTCCACATGGATGTGCCCATCAGCTTCCATAGACAATTCAAAGTGCTAATTTTAAGCCCCATGTCTTGACATTAAGGTATCCTCAAGGCTGTTTCTTCAATCCAGCTTGTCTATCCAATATTTGAGGGGCTGCCACAGAGAGGAAGGGGTCAAGCTATTTTCTAAAGCGCCTGTAGGCCATACAAGGAATAATGGATGGAAACTGAACAAGGAGAGATTTAACCTAGAAATAAGGAGAAACTTTCTGACAGTGAGAAAAATCAACCAATGGAACAGAAGTTGCCTTCAGAAGTTGTGGGAGCTTCATCACTTGAGACTTTCAAGAAGAGATTGGACTCCCATCTGTCAGAAATGGTGTAGGGTCTCCCGCTTGGGTGGGGGGTTGGACTAGATGGCCTATAAGGTCCCTTCCAACTCTGATTATCTGTTATTTATCTGACATGAAATACCTGGTAGAATTTCCTAATTATTCCCCAGGGGTCAAAAAGATTCAAAGGCATTGTTTCTCTACTCTGGTGCAGGTGCTTTTAAACTCCCCTTTCCTTGGAATTTGTGCAGCTCTCAGCTAAGTTAGCTCTAGGATATTATTAAAAATTGAATTAACAGAATTTTTGAATCTTGAATGCACTAACTATCCATTTCTATCTTTTGATTTTAGATTTCTTGACGTATTCTGTGGTTATAATTTTTCATGTAATTGTTTGGTCTTGGGTATCATACCATGCATGTTTTATTGCTAATTCTTACTGATATCCACTGAGAATAAATTGACGAGGAAGGCTTAGACAAACAAACAAGGGCACAAAATATCTTCTTGTGATCCAGACAGGGCAGTCATCTGGCACTGCTGTCCCTTACTTCTTTCAAGTTATGAAAGTTGACCCCTAGACTCGCATGGGAGGACAGCAACTCCTATAGGGTCCAAGTGCACATCCCTAGCAGTCATAAGTACACATCTGTCCAAACATGTTTCACATACCTTTAAACCTTCATTTAAAATAAAGTGCTCTCAAACCACCTTTAAAATCCATTCGACTTCCTTTTCTAATTATAAAAAAAAAGGTTCCCCAATCTACTTTTACTGTTGAATGATTCCCACCCTCTTTCCTATAATCCACTTTTAAAATAAGTAGTTCTCCCCTCCCTTCTTTCATGCATTTTTATGGATTAGCTGGCTGGCTGAATGATTTGCTGGGTTCTTCTTCTGTGAAACTAAGAGTATTTGTTGTTGAAGAAGGCACAAGTTCAGGAGGAAGTATGTTTGAGAGCAGGAAGAAAGAAGATCATAAGTCACCATCAAAGGAATAAGTTATAAAGAGGAACATTTTTAAAAGGCAGGCAAATGGTGGGAACAGGAAGTCTCTGCAACCTTCACCCAAGCATAGGTAGCATAAGATGTACACATTCTAGCCTAGTCAATGACTGGTTTTAAATCGATGAATCAGTGGCAAGGTAGGGGTGGATAAATGGATAAAAAGAAGCACCATCATTAACCTTTCAGTCTTGGACATCAGTCACTGCCTGCCCCTTCTCCAGAAGAATATTCTTTTGGTATCAGATGGATCCTGACCCTGTTAGCTTTCCATAAAGCCATCAAGACCTGATCGTTCTCAGTAGAACTTTGGATTCTGAATGGTTGCTGTTGTCTCTCTTGAATGTGCATTGGTATGTGATTGTGGATACGGGTTCCCTGTGTTCCTTGACACTGGGGAAATTTTTTTGGTATAAAATTTCTGCTTTTAATGATTACAATTATGGAGGTTGGTAAGCCTTTCAGAGCCAGACATGACTGTAGCAGCATTATGGAGGTCGGTAAGCCTTTGCCTGGCAAATAAATTTACAAATAAGGAAGCTTATTACAGGTTATAGTAGGCTTTTTTACTGAGCAAAGGCAATAGCTTTCCCTTCAACAGGAGAGGGAGTATAAATGTCTGAATGTGGAGTCCAAATCGCAAACTCCTGCTGTACATTGTCAATTTGAAAAAAGAAGTATCCCAGGTGCAATTTGCAAAGCTTAGATTTTGCATTAGTTGCTTTAAGCACAAGCCTACTTTTGGGAAGGGGTGAAGGCATTGTCCTTTGCATGACCATGCATCGTTACTTTTGCAGTCCTACTCAGTATTTCCAGAAGACAATTTTAAATTGCTTGCTTTCTGAATTTTAAAAATCAAATGGGTTTTAACAGAGCCTCCTGGATCAGAAGGAGTCATGCAATGATGGTGCAGCTATTTACCTTGTCATTAGTATCACAGTCCATCTCACAGCTTGTAGAGAGGTCACACTGCAAATAAAAAGAAGAAGAAGGCAAGAAAATCAAGGGAATTCTAGACGAATCTTAGAACCGATTTATTTAAATCCATATTATGTTCTATAAATAATTCATAATCATTTTCTAACAGTTCTATGGATTGATAAGAATAGTAATGAACATTTCCAACAGAGTTGCAGTGGTTACCTGCATTCTATAACAGTAATGTTGTACTAAGTTATACATGAGGCATATTTCAACACTATTTGGAAATGTAATCTTTTTCTGGTTGTGTTTGCCACCTTTTAAGCTGTGATTTGTTAAATAAAATATGCCTTACTAGTGTTAAAAGATCTTTGCTGGTTCTAGTTAATGTGTGGCAAAATTCAGTTTTTAACCAATTAAATGACTTTAAACAAAGATATTTGAAAAATTCCATATGAACCTGGGACTAGAGACAGTATTATGAAGTAGGATACAGTAATACGTTAGGTGCTCCAAGAGTAATAAGATGGAAGAGACAAACGGACAAATAGAGTAATTCTCATCCTGCTGTGCTTCAAAAACATTGGGGGCTGCACATGGAATTCATAATATCTTCAACAGTATGTGATAGAATGCTGTATGCACCCTATACTTGTGTAAATATTCAGATCTGAAGTAGGTAAAGGTGCCTCAGGTCTGGCGTGAACATTGTCTATGTACTCATTGATAGCTCCTTAAAGGAGCCATGTTTTTACTGGACTCATATAAGCTCAGGAACATATGAGCTGTGATCAAGAGAACATTAAGGAGTTAAGGATCAGGAAAACACACAATCTCTTTAAGGAGTTGCTAACAAGTATATCAAGGTTGCCCATGCCGGTTCTGAAGCTTTGGATCTGAATACTATACACCTCTAAAGGTGTATGAAACATTTCATCCCATAATGTTCTAATTGCCAAAATTACTCTTTCCATTTTGGGATAGGTTGTATGTCAGAATGAATGAATTGTTGTCATCTAGGTCAGTGGTCGCCAATCAGTGGGCTGGGGACCACTGGTGGTCCATGAGAAAATTTTGGTGGTCTGCAGATAAATGTCACCCCCAAAGCAATTAATCCAGGCTGTGCTGGATTAACACAAGGCTGTGCCGCCCACATGGCCCGCGGGAACACAAGGCTTGCGTCACTTGCATTGTGAACAACATGAGGTAGTGAGGGGAGGGGGAAAAGGGCAGAGGGGGGAAACTTGCCCCACATGCTTTGCCTGACCACCCGGCTGCTTCTTTCCTCTTCTTTCTTCTTCTGCTTTTGGCTGCATTCAAGGAAACCAGCAAAAGTCTTTGTTTCTCTCCCTCACTCATCCAGAAATGAGTCTTTGGGACCCTGCAAGGCAACATGCTCCAAGAGGCTATGCTGGCAAAGACTCATTTCTGGCAGAGTTTGGGAGAGAGAAAGAAAGTATTCTGTTGTTTCTGATGCTTTCTTTCCATGAAGCCAAAAGTATCTTCTCCCCTCAAGAGAAAGGAGCTGGAGACGGTATCCTGCGATCCCAAATAAAGAATGATCGATCAGTAGGAAAACAGGGTGGAGAATTTTCCTGAAGACTTTTTTCCTGCAGCCACCGTCAGTCAAAATTCATATTAGCGGTCTAAGGGATTTAAAATTATGAGTTTGGTGGTCCCTGAGGTTCAAAAGGTTGGTGACCCCTGATCTAAGTTGTGGTGAGTGCATATGAATACATGAATCCATGGATTGGGGATACTTGCATGTGAACTCCAGTGAAAGCTCATAATGGAAGAACCAGAGATAAATTGGGGGAGGGGGAGTGTAAAATTCTGATCAAATGCCATCCACAGGGGAAAAAAAATAGTATTTTAGTTGAGTTTGAATAGATGAGTATAAAGAAGACAAGAGTTCAGAAAAAGTGATTATGTCATTTGAAGACCCAAAAATAAATGAGAATAGTGACACTTTGGTTAGTATCTACTTAGTCTGTTTTAAATAGAGATAGTTCTTGACTTACAACCATTTGTTTAGTGACCGTTTGAAATTACAAGGTCACTGAAAAAAGTGATTTACAACTTGTCCTCATACTTGTGACTATCAGCATCTCCACAGTTATGTGATCAAAATTTGGATGCTTAACAACCAGCATGTATTTATGAGGGTTGCAGGATCTTAGGATCATGTGATCACCATCTGTGATCTTCCCAGCTGGCTTCTGACAAGCAAAAATCCCCTTAACGACCACGTGATTCATTTATGTATAAATGGCAAGAAAAAAAAATTGAGCAAGTAAATAAATTTGGGTGAAAATTAAGATGAGAAAACAGATAAATGTATTACTATTGCACAGTGGCAGATAGGACAGCACTCCAGAGGGTTAATGTCATTGCTCAAAAGATCATTGGTTGCCTTCTCCCCTCTTTGGAAGAGCCTCATAGCTCCCGCTGCCTTAAGAAAGTTCAAAACATTCTCAAAGATCCATCTCATCCTGGGAACCCTTTTTTAAACTATTACCATCTGGCAGAGGGTACAGAATAATAAAAACAAGGACAAATAGGCTGAAAAACAGCTTCTATCCCAGGGCAGTAGCTCTTTTGAATTCTGCTGTATAGTGCAGTATAGTGTATAGTGCGGTGTCGGGGGTTTTCAACTCAATGTGTGAAGGATGAAGGATGTGCGTTTGTGTTTATTTTCATGGTCATGATGTGCACTGAAGATGGTGTTTGATTTCGTTGTATGAGGTGCAATGACAATAAAGTAAACTAAACTAAACTAAAACTAAACTATTAGCGTACAATTTTCTACACCAACATTCCTCAACCTTTCTGGGCTGGTGGCCTAGCACAGGAGGTGGAAGAGGGGATGGTTTTGTATGAGGGGCAGTGGGGATGCCAGCTCCAGAGTGGGGCTGCTTGTGCCAGCGCCGGAATATGCTGGCCTGCCACTCAAGCCACTCGGGTGCAAATAAGCCATGGCACAGTAGAGGGCAGTAGCCCACAGGTTGGGGACCCCTGTTCTACACTATAGATAACATGGCTTAGAAAATGTATATCTATATAGGGAATATTAACTATGTTTCTCATGATCATGAGACTAATACAAAAAAATACCATTTTCATGTTTATTAAAAGTGTTTTATTTTAAAAAAAGTTAACCGTCAACATAATGGATGACATTTGTACAATTATGTAATTCAGAACTGCCTTGCTGTTGTGCTGTTTGGTTTGATCTTCGTCCATTTGTTTGCACGGTTTTACAAAATTCGATAAGTTTTAAGTATGTGAATATGCTTTTGATTTATATACCAGAAAATTATCACACTATGAAGAATTATGAATTTATCAACATGGAGCTGGAAAAAATAAACTAAGCTATTGGCCTGGCACATTAATCCCACATTTACTATCTTGAATAATCAATACATATTTGCTTTCTTTTTAGGAACTGATTCTGTAGCAATATAATGAAGAGTAATATGGTACATGATACATGCTTAATGATGTGTTTAAAATTAAACTGAATGATTTTTGTATGTGTTATTATTTATCTTTAATAAGATTTATAAGGTCATCCAAGTCAAACAGCATGACTCTGGGTAAGCTAGAGCGTAAAAAAGAAGCAATACTCACCCGACCTACAACTTTAATACATACACAATATAAAAATATAAAAGGCAAAATATAAAAGGCAACCAAGCCACATAGAATTTTAGGTTGGACCATATAATATAGTACATTTTTGTTGTTTCCTGTTGTCCTTTTATTGCTTTTATATATTTGATTTTTCCCCTTCTTTTTCTTTTCTTTATGTATTTTATTTTTTCCCTTCTTTTTCTTTTATTGTATAGTAATGCAATATTTATTTATTTTGAAAACAGAAATTCCACAGCTCCAATCAGGCTGTTTTCAAAAGTCAAGATCCTAGTATTGTTCCTAGGAACACCCCCCCCCACACACACACATTACTTACTCGTCGTGTTTTCTGCTGATCTGTTTGATTGCTAGCAAGGACTTTAAATTTTTGTGTCCAGGCCTCCAAGTCAAGTTTTACTCCAACCACTGGAGAGGAGAAATAATTTTATTTTTTTATTTGCAGATAGAAAGTTAAATCCGAGGAATAGGAATGCAAGCACATTTGTGGGAGGAGGTTTTGCTGTTCTTCTCCCTTGAAGCTACTTGCGTTCCCTTGAAAAACCTATCTGGAAGTCAAGACAACAGATGGGGAATTGGACTAGCAGCCAGGAAAAAGGGGAAATCCCCTAAATTAGCTGAAGGGGCCAAAGGCAAGAATCCAACTCTATCTCTATTTTAAAACACCAATTCTGATTCCATGATCTACAGTAATAGTTTTTGTATTTTTCTCAGATAAAGCACACATGTATATAGAATTTGGGCCAGCTCAGAAGCAATAAATGAGCAACCTAGTGACTTTCAAAACATTGATAATATTCAGTTCTAAAATATATTTGTACATTTAAATAATCTTACAAATTAGATTATACTTTGTCTCTTGGCTATCTTGAAAATCTCCTGTGTTATTCTTACATGGCATAATTCTGTAAGGACACAAAACCAGCACAAATTCTATATACAGGTCTGCTATATCTGAGAAGATAATAGACTCTCCTGCTTGAGCAGGGGGCTGGACTAAATGTCCTCCAAGGTCCCTTCCAACTCTGTTATTCTATGAAACTGTCCAACATAATTGCATTGAAACTCAAATCTCAGAGGAGGTGGAAGATACATCTGGAAATATGGAATGGTTGTAGAGCTCCAGAAAGCCTATGCTGAACTAAGGCAGGTTAGATAGAATAGAATAGGATTGAAAATCTTTGGGATAAACCACTGGATTACTTTACCTGCTGGCTTCAGATGCCTCTCTGCTATGTTGAGTTCTACAGCTGTGCTAACCAGGATCCCAACAGCACTGCTGTCTGGCTCTGATCCTCTATAGCTGGCTATTTAAAGGAAAGAAGGAAACAAATTAACATTTTCTGATGGATAATACTGCATAACTGTTACAAGAAACTCTCTGGCCTAGAAGAAACAATCTGATAATTTTTATGGTTTCATGAATAGTTGTCTTCCTGCCAATGCTTACTTTCTAATTCACTTTAACAATGAAATAAAAGACTTCTTCTATTCTGCTATTTAGTAATTAAGGTCTTAAGCTACATCCATGGCTTCAGATATAGATGGTAACCAATGGTGGTATTTAATGTTTTTTTTTACTACCGGTTCTGTGGGTGTGTCTTGGTAGGCATGGTGTGTCTTGGTGGGTAGGGCATGGCTGGTTGGGTATGTCTTGGTGGACATGGCAGGGGAAGGATACTGCAAAATCTCCATTTCCATCCCACTCCTGGGGGAAGAATACTGCAAAATCCCCGTTCCCGCCCCACCCCACTAACCCGCTTTCCAGCTCCGTTCTCCTGTGCAGGGCAACAAAAGAAGACCCAGCCGATCAGTTGGGACTCAGGAAGCAGCGCCTAGATGGGGGAGGGGCCAACCAGAAGTGGTATTTACCGGTTCTCCAAACTACTCAAAATTTCTGCTCCTGGTTCTCCAGAACCTGTCAGAACTGGCTGAATACCACCTCTGATGGTAACACTATTGTCTGTCTGTCTGTCTGTCTGTCTGTCTGTCTGTCTGTCTGTCTGTCTGTCTGTCTAAGTTGTCACAATTCTATCAAATTCTGACAACAAACACGACAAAAATTAAATAAGCACCATAAAATATAAACATATAAGGCCAAAGCAATTTATTTCCCATGATTTGATGACTGAATGCTCCCTTCCACATTCGACTCCTGACACACAACCCTGCATATCAGATATCAAATGTGGTTAATAGTTTTCCTATAGAACAGTGTTTCTCAACCTGAGCAACTTTAAGATATGTGGATTTCAGCTCCTGGGATTAAGCCAGCATGTAAACCAGCTTGAACAAGAGTTGTATTGCAATTTCCTGGAGCTTCATATTTATAAAGACTATCCACATTGAAAATACTGCCTAGCTATGTTCTGCAAGATTTTACTTACGATCTCGGTAAGGAGGCTTAAAGGTGTAGCCTTTATTATCTAGGCTTCTTCGATAAAAGCTGGCATTGAAGGGCTCTCGGTCTTCTTCCCAATCTTCAGCAGCTCTTTCATAGAAATCAACCACACCCATAGAACATTATCAATTTCATCTTTCACAAAAGTAGGCTCAAAATCAAGTATATGCATAAAAATTCTAAGGAGTCTTTAAAGGGGCAATCTGCTCTTCAGACGCCAAAACCTCAGATACTCCCCAAACATATTTCCTATAAACTTTTCAATATGTAAATAAAACAACTATTTAACCCATTATAAAATGGCAATAGGGACAGGTCTTAATGTCATTTGATGTTTACAGAATTGCCCTTTACAAATTAGAATTGAGTTATATCACTTCTTTTAGAAGATTGCAGAAAAATCCCAAAGTAAATCAACTTTTTTTTTAAAACCGGGATAATAAAATAATTTTCATTTTGCATAAAGCTGAGTGCTTGACAAATCTATTATTTTCATTTTTCCAAGCATATAAGGTATCAAGATATTTATTAATATATTTATTGCCTAGCACTTAGGTATTTAAGGCAAATCAGTAAGAATATTCCTCTGAAGATGGTAGTTAACAAGGCAATTTTTTTTTGTCTCCTACAGATACAAGTCACAGTAATCTCATGATTTAGGACAATTTTTCAATTTCATATCACATTCAGATGTCCAAAAGTAGTGGTTTTTTTTTTTTTTGTAGAAGACCCACTCTCAACGTTCTTGCAGAAACAAAAAGCTTGTTCACATCTTTAAAAAATGTACAGAGGAAATAAAAATGCTTGGCTTCATTAGAGGAAACTTTTCTTTCTTCAATGGTGGTCAGCCGGGGCCCACCAATTTTCTTTCTCCTTTGACCTACTCAGAAGAATCTGGAAAGTGGCTTTGATATTAGGCAGTCACAAAATAGACTATATGTGTAATTCTGTGATGATTTCCAGAGGACCAACATGGATTGCAGAGACCAAAGGGAAGAAAGTTTAATCTATCCGTACACAGATGCTTATAGATGACAATAAAAACTTACTTGTTAGGGAAAACACGGGTGATGCCACCATCTGTGGCAACAAACACAGCTAGAAGACTATATCTGCAGTAAGATAGAAATCAAAGTGAAAATTTAGGAATAGGGTGGCACACTCAAAATGTCCCTCCTTCCTGACAATCATTGAAATATGATTACATGATAGTGGATTAGTTTTTTGCTGTAAGAGATCAATATAGCACCTCTACAAGCCCAGGTAAAGATGCGGCTACTTTAAAAATTGAGAGAGACATGTTTCATGTGCCCTTGTGAATCACTCTTCAAAAGATTTGTATAGCCTCAACTATAATTTTCAGCATGGTCTCCAGGCCATGTAATTTAGCTGATATTAATACAGCTGAAAGCTTCACATTGCCTTGGAAAACTACTTTATAAAAAGATGCAATTAATCTGCACTCAACTGAATATTTGAATAATACGAGCATGTTTCGGAAGTTTTATTTACGTGCTTAAATCTTGATTCTTCCATACTGTTTCCACCAGCTGTTGTGTAATTCCAGTGTCCAGGATAAGGTTGTGAAGAAGGAAGTTGTCACCTTAACAGAAAGAACAAATGTTCCAAAACCAGAAGTTTGCTTACCCGAATAGTCGCTAGAATTTCTCCACTCACCATTTTTACTCACAAAGAGGCAGTTGAAGGCAATACCAAATCTTTCCATTATTCAGTAATTTGGAATTAGGATGCCCTGATCTAAATTCTTAGCAGTATTAAACTGCCTTTTTCTTAAAAAAAAAAAGGCATACATTTCTCAATGTTTTTGGAAACTCTTCTCAGTATTGGAAGTCAGTCAGCTCAGGTCTCCCTTTTCTTGCTGTTTTGAGTTGGAGATGGTAAATAATGTATTTCTGTATCTTATGCACACATAGGCAGATTCCTAGAGTGCTGTCATATTTTTTTGGGTCACACTAAGTGTAATAAACAAACATGGTAGAACTACATTTCCATAATTGACAGATATGGAAAGGGATGACTGAACTACTTCTCCTGGGAAATGTACTTTTAACACCTAAAGCAGAAGTGTCAAACTTGCGTCATCACAGCATCGTCACACGATGTATCGCGACTTTTCCCTCCTTCGCTAAACTGGACGTGGATGTGGCCAGTGCATGACGCAGGCCATGAGTTTGACAGCCCTGACCTAAAGGATACTTGATCACTACCTGTCCATAAAGGAAGGGAATACCATGACTCTTGTTTTTTAGTTGCTCAGTTGCACTAATTTACACTGAGAAATCAGGCTGGCTATGTAATGTAGGATTTGTTTTAATGAGGTATATCTTATAGTCATAAAAATCAGAGAGCTTTAACCGCTGATGAAATGTGACCTGGTTCCGGCCAGATCAAGCCTGAAGAAGTCCATATGCCTATGTTCAAATGTAGGATTGGCAAACAACATTATCCAATGACTGCATACTTTTGAAAAGATAAGTCCCATCGATTCCATTTGGGCAAGCTGATTATACATGTACAGGGCTACATTACAACTCTTAACTGTGGTGGTTAATCATTTATATCAGACTTTCACAATCGGATATTCTCCAGAACAGGCCCTATTGGTTGGGAATTCTGGAGGCTGTAATCCAAATTACATCTGGAGGTTGCTACAAAGTTGAATTACGTCTTTGTTTTATGAAATCCACCTTACCATAAGGTAACAATTCCCAGATATAATAGAAACACATCTTAACACTTCACTGAAATAAACATGAAACTTTATTTAAATAACCTATTTTTGGCAACCCTTGCCCCACCTCCATCTTTAAAAATAGATTTATTTATTTATTAATCCATTGCTGCTTAGTAATAGATATCCCTGGGTTCTCTCACTCACAAAACGTGAAGGCTTTCTTGGGATGATATTTTCTTTCCACCACAGGCCTTTGAGGGTACTTACATTGTTTGGAGTCAGGCGTCACCTTTTCCATGAGGGCAATAAAGTTTTCCAGGAATTCAGTGTTGTTATCCGACAGGTTGAGGTCTTTGCAATATTCTCTGGGTTACGAGGAAGATTTGTAGATTGGAAGGATGAAAAAGTTGCGGTTAGTTTTCTTTCTCTTAGAATTGGCCTAATCATGTGCTCAGCACAGGTGAAGCAGCTACTCAAACTAGCTGGATATGGTTAAGACAATGAAAGTGGGAAATATGTGGAGTTATTTAATGAGTCATATCCTCACCACCACCATCTCTGCTCAGAAATATGATTTTGAATTTAATGTGCATCTCATTATCAATATTTAGAGCTACTCGACCTTTATTTTTAAAGATGTCTTAAATCTATATATGGGTAGAGAAAGAAATATGTGTAAGAATCTAGTATGTTTCAAATCTAATATCGGTATAATATGTATTAGTGAGTCTTTGAGAGTTGGGAGATTGCATGAATGTGTTTTATGGCATGGCTCACAGTCTGCTGGGATAGGCTGTTTTTTGGCCTTTTCAGACTGGTGTTACAGCACCTCTCAAGATTAACCAGAAGTCTGTAAAATATTACAAAGTCAATTTATGAAAGTGCAGTAGGAAGCCTTTGGGAATTTATTGGCTATATAAAAACCTGTGGCATAACTCTTTTCTGTTATTTACTGATGTCATAAAACACCACCTGAATGGTTTCTTCTTGCCACCTAAAGCACAGCACACCGCATTGGATAAGTACTATGCATCACTGCATTTTCAGATTTCTGAATAATTGTGCCACTCTATTTCTCTAAGAACTTACTGGCTTATTTTAATTCCTCCGGGGTTTGCAACTTAATTAAACTCTTGATCTGCTTTTGTGAATTTCTATAGACATCAGTCTTTACTATGATTTTCAACATGGCATTTACACAGAAGTGTGACCATGCTAGTTATAAAAAGACTGTATTTTTTAAAATCAAGTATTGGAAAATAGCCTCATTTCCTTCCTCTCCCACTCTTTCTTCTAGCTTTCGCTGTAGCTTTCACAATGAAGTTGGGGGCGGGGGTGGGGAGGGGAGAATCAACACTTTAAAAAAGTGGATCCATATATAAGCCATGAGATTCCTCAGTGAGATGCTAAGGGTGCAGATTTGATATGATAGTATCTGGTCTTTTTAGAGCAGCAATGTGGGGGGGAGTTTGTGGATTTCCAGATGTTGCTGAAACAGAAGTCTGAGCTGGGATGGTCAGTTGTAAACGATGTCAATAATGGAAGTTGATCAATATGTGGACCTAAAAAGCTCACCACTTCTCTAGAGACAGCAGCAGAACTCAAGCTATGAATATTATTTTTCCATTCTAGTATTGATACTTGATGGCAGGGAATAAGTGAGGTTGGTAATCTGGGACAAAGGTAAATTTCTTTACTGTCTCCTAAATGGGACTATCTCCCACTTTATTTAGATTGTTTTCAAAGATTGTATGCATCCCCAAATAAACCCTATTAAAAGCATGAAGATAAGTAATAGCTATCTCCAAGCTAAAAGGTATATGCAGTGCCAGTTACTTGATATAATGGGTCAATTTATACAGCCTTAAATTTATCTCACTAAAACCATTCCAGCTATCTTTCTAGACTCACTTTCAGCATTTTTTAAAGGTTCTTTTTTGACATGATTCTGTTATAGGACTTGACTGCTTTATTTGCAATTCAGAAATAAATCTCTGTCAACAATGGCACTGTTTTTTTCATATCTACATATAATTGTTTTCTAACCGTAAAAGTTAGTCTAAGGTGATGCGATAGATATCAACCAGTTTTCTAAAAAAATATTGCTAATGAGCCTAACCCAATCTGGCACCTTCCTGACATGTTGGGAAGTTCCATAATTCCCAGCCAGCAGAGGATTCCAAATTTGGGGAGCCAAGGAGAGCTGACAGGAAGGGGACAAAAATGTTAATTCTTCCTTTGCCCACTAATTCAGTCCACAACCACTCTCTCCTTTCCACTGTATATATTTGTAGTTTTAGTTTATTTTTTTAACAGAAAAAAATAATGGAAGTTGGAGGAAGAGTTGTTGAATCAGTACTGCGAAGATAGATTAATTTATCATCTTTATTTCACTTTTATCTGATTGCTGCAGCGTTATGAAATGTATCCAGGATGGGAAATGTCTTTCTTAATACTATGTATGGTTTTCTTAATAGTTTGCTTGAGTTAAGTAGATATAATTTAAATGGAACACACTAATTCTAATGAGATGGTTGACTTCTTGAATGGCAACAACTGCAGTCCAAATCATATACAAGTGTATTTGTGCCTGTTTATATGCATATATGCATGTAGCACTATCTGTCTATTTGTCAAGGGATGCTACCCAATTCAAATGTCTGAGATTGTGTCATCCAAGTCATGGTTATCCCAAAGGTATGATTTTTTTAAAAAGAGCTGAAGAAGCTTCTTTGATGAGAAACGAAACATCTTTAAGGAAAACCAAAATCCAGTTGCTTTTGGAAAAAGCACTTTTGGGACTACCCAATTCAAGTGTAGTCAGGACCATTGGTGAATTAAGCAGGACAAGATCCCAGAGAAAACAAGTTAAGCATGTAGTGATTGGAGTCCGAGTTACATCTTGAGAGGTGCTGAATCTGGACGCACGACTGCATTGTTTCTTGCTTTTCCTATTTGGTCTTGGTATGGGGTTTTAAACAAGGGATAAAAATACTTACCTCTCTCTTAATGGAAAGAGGAGAGATGTAGTTCAATGATTTGGGGAAAGAATAGAAGATTCTCTTATCTATAATGTTTTGATACAGAATTTGGTTTCCTTCAAAAGATGCTAAGGCCAAAGTTGCAAATTCTAGCAAATTCATATCTATTTCCACCTATTGCCCAACCTACCATATTCTCTCATTAGATATGATCTCTTCATTTATTGTGGTCACAGTCCAACCCAATAATTAAAATTGGTGTCACTATTCTTTTCTTTTTGATTTTGGGGGTGGGTGAGTGGGTGGAGGAGAACAAATGTCACCCATCTTTAGTTGACTTTATATTAAATATGCAAAATGTTTCTTCTCTGAAACTCCACTTTTTGAGAAAGTGGGAGACAGGATAGGAAAGAGTGGAAGAGGGACATATGTGAGAAAACACTTTAAAGATTTGGCTTACTTGTGGAACAAAACAAGATTCCACAATGCACAGAGATTTTCAGGACAGTCACAGTGAACCGCTATTCACCATAGCAATAGAAAACAGGATACTCCAAGATTATGCATCAAAATACTGCTACAGACATATATAGATACTGTAGACATATCTGTACCCTTCATTTAGACAGACAGGTGCTGGCATTTGCTTGCAAGACTATATGAACAGTATTGAGATTTATATATTAAACTATTTATCAGCTCTGTCTTTTTAATGGGTTAATTTGTATGCAAGATTGTACCTTGCTGTGAGTCTAGGCATCTGCAGATATAGACCACTGTGAATTGTAAAGATATATAACAAAACTAGGCTTGTTCGCATCACCATTTGCCATTATCTTTGGGAGTTTTTATTTAACTGAAGCAACAAAGTTTGCATGACCTAATTTTGCATTGCCAGTTACCAAGATCGGGGGTTGGAAATAGTGTGTGTGTGTGTATTCTTCCATCTTTATACTGTAGCTTTCAAAATTAAATATTAAGAAATAATTTAGAACAGGATAGAGATTGCAATTTAGAGAGTGATTTTTCTAGGTTCATGACAAATATCACACGGGACATCTCACCAGGTAGCCAGATGTAAAGGATGATAGTATCCTGTATCTTTTAACAGCTTATCTATCTGAGGGGATAGCGGTGGATGTAATTTGTTTAAGGCTTCTGTCACAAAAAGTGGGTTCAATGCAAAAGCCTGTCCATGTATAAATGGAATATATTCTGTAAATAAAACTACTTGCATAGGCATCTTTGGCACAAAATCAGTAAGTCTCTTAAAAGGTCAGTTGAAATACAGAGTTAATGAATTTGAACCAAGTAGCAGATCCAGTATGCATCTCATCTGTTAGATCCAACAAAACGAATGTGTATGAAAGTAGAAGCAATTAAAATATATTCTGTAGAGTAGTTGGATAAGATTTGACGGTCACCAATTTTTAACAACTTTTTCACAGAAATAAAATACAAGTTTATTTTGCTTTAATTACCTTTCAATTTTCCAATTTTTCAATTTTCCATCACTGTATGTTAATGCAAAATCCTGGACCGTCCAATTTATTTTGCTTCTTGAAGATATATATATATATATATATATAAATATAATATATATATAAAAAGATATATATGCACTATATTTTATCCACCTATGTATTTACACAGATATGTACAGATATATGTGCTTGCACACTCACAAATAGATTATTAGTGATATATGGTTTCTGAAAATTACCATGGACTATTGGCCATATTAGTAATGATGAGACTTCACAGCATGTTGCCAAGCATTATTGGGGCTGAGAGGCTAATAAATAGTGTAGCTGGAATTAAAGAAATGTCATAAATAATCACTAGGAACAAATGTTTTCTAGAACAGAAGCCTATTTGTTCTGATATAATCATAAATCTGCATTTCTTAACCTCTAATAGCTTCCAATGGACTAAATGACATCTCCTGCCTAGAAATTGACAATATGGCTATTGGTCATCTTGGCTGCCACTGGAGGAGAAGTGTGGTCCAACAAATGTAAAAGGAATCAGGTTGGGAAAGGCTGCAAGTGATAGACCTAATTAGACACTGGATTGCAAAGAATGTTTTCAGGATAATAAAAAGTCTTTCCCTTTTATTTTATGACTATCTATGCAGCTATACAAAAGAGGACATACTGTCAAAAAAATCTTAAACCTAAAAATTTGATCATAAACTGTTATTCATGATTTATAAAATGTCCCACAGAAATCATGTATTTCTATGCTGGACAGCGTTCAGTGCAGAAAAAAGATATCCATTAGTAATGATAATAGGGTGATCACATCAGGAGTTCAAAATTCAGATAACCAGTAAATGATGACAGCAAGGAAACATAGGCCTATAGTAGCTATCTGGATTTTTGTACCCCAGATTTGGTAGCCCTAAATCAGGGATATCAAACTCGCGGTGTCACGTTGTTGTCACATGACGTATTGCAACTCCCCCCCTTTGCTAAACCAAGGGTGGGCGTGGCCAGTGAGTTTGACACCCCTGCCCTAAATGATTAAAAATTACAAATTTTACAGCTCTCCTCATGTACTATCAATCTCAAATGCAAAGCACTGAATGCAACAAATGTCAGTGAACCCCATTCATTGAAGTTGTTAAACTAGAATCAACAGAATTTGAGAAAATAAAATATATTTCCTCATTCATCCAGGTAAGAGTTATCTGAAACTTGAATCATGGCAATTGGACTTTTCTTTTTGGCTTGAAAAACAGTGAAAAGTGTCAAGCCAAAAAGAAAAAAAGTCCACTTGAATGCTAATTTCTAAGCAACCCTGCTCAATAAGACTACTACAGAACGGTGCTGTTTGGATTGGTTCAGCATTATATGGAGGGTTACAGTTTCCTCATCCCAATTAAAAAAAAGTGTTGTATGAGTGTCATGCATTTTTAAGACTGCAATCCTATAAATACTTACCTGGGAATAAAATCCATGGAATACCTCTAAGTATTTATGTATAGGATTGCTCTGTAGGATTAATACATGTTGTAGCTGCTTAAAAAAATGTTGGAACATCACCTACCTATTATATTATAATGCCTTATATAATGCTGACTTTGTGAAAAGGCTATTAAAATGGCATTTCTTCCATATATACGGTGATTGGAGCCTGAGTTACCAGAAGAGGCCCAGTTTACTGTATCTTTAAATGTCTGAGTGGAAGGGTTTTATTTACTGACAGCATGGCATGCTTGCCTGAGACTCTGATTTTCCCTCTTCTAAAGAAGTATTATAGACATTAGAACTCCATCTTTATTTGTATTTGGCCTTCTGTGGTTAAGCCATTGCAAATGATTATCACAAACAGTGGTCATTATAATTTCATCTGGATGCCAAATATATCACCAGTTTATGAGAAGTGGGCTGATGTTGTGCTGCCCGTAAATCTAACAAGATTTATTTATTTATGGAATACAGAATTCTGCCCTCACCGCAAATCTTAGTTCTCTCCCTCTCTAGTTTTATCCCCAAACTGTTCTGTGAATTTGAACCTCCCCTAGCCTAGTATAATATTCTGACCACTACACTGGACTGGGCAACAAATGTTCTGTTCTGTAGATTTGAAATAATTAAATTTGAAAGAGTTGAAAGAATAAAATTGGTTAGGCTTACAAAATGCAGAGTTTGTGATTTTTATGTATGGTATTACTATATCAATAGTAATAGTAGTCAATAGTAACACATGTGTAGAGGGCAAAGGGAATAGCCTTGAAGGACAGGAAGAAATGCTGTGACCAAGTCAACAATCAGATAAAAGGGGCTCAAACCTAGACAAAGAAAATAACATAAGGAAACATCTCAGACAAGTCCCTCCCTAGTTCAAACAAAGATAAAGTGAGGAAGAGGGAACACATTCAGATTTGCAAGATTTCTAATGTTACAGCTGTCGCAATAAAAGTAATCCTGATCAATATGATTTCTTAGGCTGGGCTAATTTAGAGATGTTTTGGTGGAATTTTTCCTTACATGATATCATGATCTCAATAGGATTGAAACAGGGCTGGGTTTTTTTGGGAGGATTTTCAGAAACTATACCTATATATGTGTGCTACATATGTGTCTCATATACAGCCATACACACATATATATATTCTTCTTATGTAGGTGAGTGAACAGAAGGTGGGACATCTATGCTGCCGGCCGCCAATGGTAGCACAACATAGTGTAGATGGCGGCAATCATAGTCCCCGAGACTGGCACACAGGCAGACGACAGACACACAAAAAAAGGAAGAAATGATCAAGACATTGGCACAATGAGGAGGTATATCAATTCCAAATGGGTCAGGAGTGATGGAGTAGAATATCTGAAGGTGTGACAGGGACGGAAAAAGGGTTGGGGAAGGGGAGTTGAACCACTCCCAGGATTGGTGGTTAAATGGACACCTCAGCAAGCTCACACACAAAGCTACCTTGGAGCAATGAATACATGTCCCTCGGACTCAAAGCTGTTTGGCAGCAGGTATTCAAAATCTGCAACAGAAAGGTAACATTATGCGGCGGGGAGTTGAAATGAGGAAGAAGGCAGCTTCGGTTTCAGAAGATGACAGAGCCAGAGCAAGAAGAAATGGGGCTGGGGGAGAGAGAAAGAGAAAAGAGACAGGAATAAACAGAAGAGGCAAAACCACTGGCTCGTTTTAACAAGAGAGAAAGGAGAGAATACACTTTGGGTGCTCAAGTCATACCAGAAGAAAATTATAGCCAATAAGTTGCCAACATTGAGTGGATTTGGAAAGTTAATCATGTATAATTAAAATTCCGTAATCTGTAATTAAATATATTTGGCAGATTGTATATATATGTATATATAAATATTGATTTGGGACTATATATAATTATACCTACACACATATATACCTTCATACTTATATATATATATATATAAACACATATATATATGTATGTTTAGTAGGTCATGTGGATATCTCTCTCTTATTATGTAATTACAAAGAAAAGAAATCACATGCTCTGCTCATACAAAAAGAGAATTACTAAAACAATATTTTCTAAGAAAAAATATTTTTCAGGCATCAACATGGCCAAACCAGGGTCCTTTATGAAGACAGTCCAACCAAAGACTTACCCATAGCTAGAGGTAAAACACAATGCATTGTAGAGAGCGCAGCCGCTGTCTTTTCTAACAGACAGAGTTCTCAGAGCATTGCAACAGCGATCCCTCCTTGGTTAGAATGTGCAACAGCCTTCTGACTTCCATAGAAGTAACTTATGTAATCAAGTCAACTGTGTAGCATTAAACATGGTCAATATTCCAAGAGAATATTGAGCTCTGATAGTTAAGGCACCAGGCTAGAAACCAGGAGACCATGAGTTCTAGTCCTGCCTTAGGCATGAAAGCTGGTTGCGTGACTTTGGACCAGACACACACACACTCTCTCTCAGCCCAACTCATCTCACAGGGATGCTATTGTGGGTAAAATATGAGGAGGAAGGAATATTAGTATGTATACCACCTTATAAAAATAATAAAAGTGGGATATAAAGAGAAAACTAGATGACTTGGGACACTTCACAGGGTTTTTTCTTGGGAAAAATGAAAATTGAGAGGCCTATATAAGTTACTGTCAGCTCCCCAAGGAAAGCTGAGATATGAATTGAGTGAATGAGTAAATGACTGAATCAATTAATAGATAACTAGTGGGTTCTCTTCAAGTATAACCCTAGAACAACAAAATAGGACCAAAGCTATATTTAACACAATTAGCACAAGCATATGCAAATAATACTCACTAGTAGTGATGCAGGGTTTGAACATGATCCACAGTTTCCCAGAAAAGTAATGATGCTTAACTGTAATCTGTAGATTACAAATGTTTTTCCTTTTGTTATTTGGTTTTCTACGAGCTGATTAATTTCCAGTAAACTTTTGGTATGCTCCTTAAATACTTGCTAGATGTTACCACGTTCTGAAAGTTTGCAAGTTTCCTCACATTGAATTCTCACTATCCGAAAAAGAGAAGTTAAGAATTCTTGTGGCATAAAACAGAGATAGAAGAATCCCAATGTCCTGAATTTCTATTGTCATAGAGGAAAGAGGAAAAAGGGCAAGGAAGTATTGTTATATTTTATTGGAATTCTGTGTTTTATAATATTATCCTATATATCAGGGGTATAAGTCAAGGCCTGTGGGCTGTATTCAGCCCACGGGGTGCTTAGAGCTGGCCTGCGGGCCTGTCCTGGAAACAGCAAAGGACCAGCCCACAGTGCCTCTGCCAGTGAAAACGGAGCATGGGAGGGCTACACGCGGCCCTCTCATACTTTGTTTTTGCTGGCAGAGGGTTACAGGAGGCCTTCCCAGCCAAAAACGAAGCGTGTGAGGGTCACTCAGAGCACTCCCAAATTATGTTTTCGCTGGCAGAGGGTTGCAGGAGGCCGTCCCAGCCAAAAATGGAGCTTGCGAGGGCCACACATAGCCCTCCCAAGTTATGTTTTCGCTGGCAGAGGGTTGCGGGAGGCCTTCCCAGCCAAAAACAGAGCTCAGGATCCCATTTTTGCTGGCAGAGTGCTCAGGCAACAGGCATCCCCAATACAAGTGATGTCAAGCTTGCTGTGCCCACCCTGGCCATGCCCACCCCAGCCCCTTGAGGTCAAACACCACCCTGGTGCGGCCTTGAATGAAATTGAGTTTGACACCCCTGCTATATATGTTCTACCCAGACATATCTCAGGTAAGTAGAATTATAAGCTCAATTTAAGATATACTTTAGTGGCCTCTAAAACATAAACTAAAAATAAGCTAAACTAAACTAAACATCTTTATCATTGTTTCTAACGAATGACCTTGGGTGAGTTCCCCTACAAATTTATTTTTATGAGAAACAAAGTTTTTAAAACTAGAATTGACATGCCCTCTACACATTATGGGTCATCTCTCCAATAGCATTGCCATTTTGCATTGAATTATGTATAATCTTCATCCGTTTCATTCCTGGCCTCTAGGGATAATTGATGGAAGCTTGTGCTATAAACGATGCCATGAGAAAACAGAACTGAGTGCAATCATCACAATGCTGATACTGTGCTTCAAATCCTAGAATTACCTTGTGCAGCACTCATGTAATTCTTAACAAGTATGGTAAGCAAAATGAAATCCTGTGGAATCTCCTTGGCCAATTTTCACAGAAAATGATTGCCAGGACCATTTCTGAAACCAATTTGTGAGATAGGGAAAAAATAGCAATGCATAGCAAATTATTCAGCTTTTAATCTAGAAAAGTGGTTCAGAACTATACCATTGTTACTGCTGTCAATGGTTATTGATGGAGAATGAACATCAATAACTCACTGATTCTCTCTTGATTCTGTCCAAGATTTAGACTGAAATAAATCCAAAAAAATATGATCCAACCAAAACAGTGCAGTCAATTTTCTACTTGATCAGATTTACTGATAGCTTCAATCCGGACACTTTTCTACGCTTTTATGGTTCTTTAGAGAATAAACTTAAAGCAATAGTTCTCTTGGAATCTTGATACAATAAAAAATAATAATTTTAACTCAGGTACAATTTAGTTGAACTTTTTTCTGGATAGCTCATTACATAACCAACATTTAAGAAGGCATCAAATAGGCATGTATTGGGATTCAATAATATTTCAAATAATAAAAATGGAAGATTTGTAATTGGATATTATCTGGCTGTTGTGCTTTCTTTTCTTTCCCCTTTTCCCTTTTGAGGGGAGGGTGAAGAAACTTTTGTTGCTGCAAGACCCGAGAAGTTCAGGACAAGGCAGGGATTTTCACTCACTGTTTTCAGTGTTTCAGAAAAAAAGACACAATTCCCAATCTGCTTCTAACAGACTGAAAAGTGAAAACAATCATGGTATGGTTTGCTCTTCTGCTTTATTTATTTTTTTAAAAAATATTCATGCCGTTCTTTAAAAGTAATGAAAAATTAATATTTAGGAAGTATACTTTTTTAAGCAAAGAAACAATTATTTTGGATCATGTAGCCTTATACTTTTCAGTAGCCTTACATTGCTCCAGAACAGAGTATTCTACAAACTATTTAAATGGAATAGATTCATTATTTCCTTTATTGAAAATTACAGTTCCATCTATTCACCCCTAATCATATGAGTGATATTTTAATCTAGATTATTTTGGTACTAAAAGTAATAATATTAAAAAAATAAGGATCACTGCGAGGCTGATTCATTAAGATCAAGACTAAGAAATTTGTCAATATCAACTCCTAACAAATCCTACCATTATCTTCTCTAGCCAATCCAATCTGCAAACATCAACCTCTGCCAGGCTCATTGGCACTCTCATCACAAACCCTATGGTGCCACAACATTTAGCAATAATTAACACTCTAGACTTGGCAGTAAGACTGCAAACATATAATTGACTGCACAGAAGAATTTATTAATGGCTTAACTAAAAAATGAAAACAACCCCTCCTCTCCCCCAAATTTTCTAAGAATATAAAATCATGTCAAGCAAGGAATCAATAGTCCTTAATAGTCATAACCACAAAAGAAGAGCAAGATCTTGCTTTGACCAGAATGAAAATAATTGTGATATTTCCAACGTGAAACATAGACCAGTTCGCTAAAAAAAGGAAATATATTTGCAATCATTTGTAAATTTCAACCTTTTCTCTTTTATCGATCATTGGTATGTCTGCATAAGTCACTAAAAACAAGGCTCGAATGAATGAGAAGATGAATGCCATCATTTTTTGTGTTGCATACAGCTTTTAATTCGCATAAGTATGAGAGGAAGTACAGCATAATCAGGCTTGCAAGGATCTGTTGGCACAGCTATTATCAATAAAAGTAGTATTAGCTTCCTGTGGGAGTTGATTCCTGAGCTGGTCTATCTGGACGGGCTGACAACAATCTTGCAAATCTCATTGTGCTGTACTCCTCCTCTTTACACTCATGGGTGGTGTCTGTCTGAGCCTTTCTCATATTTGCTGCTTGATGTAGACTTAAAGATGTTTTCCCTCTGGTTAACAATAATGGATCTTGCCTATCTCCATTAAGATTATCTTCATTACTTTCAACAGGTCTTTCTATACCAGACTAAACAATAGCCAATAGTCAACAACGGTCTGAAATGCATGAAAAGAACTGAATGGTTTTGTATCATTTACGCTGAAGAGCAAGAAAAGAGCACAGGCTGAGGCTTCTGATGGAGTTGAAGTTTGGAGTTGAGTTTGGCTCTTCTTCAGAGCCATACATGGAATTGCAGGAGACCCTGCCACAATTCAGGATAGTTCTTTGCAGGTGTAAACATGGTTACTTACATCCTTCATGCTTACACACTACTGTATAGAGCCAAAATGTGTGAACTTGACAGCCTTGTCTCCTGTGATGCATATAAAGGCAGCTTACCTTTAATATATTAATAGGTTCTGGGTGAGGAATTCTACCCAAATTTAATTGCATATTTTATATCTACCTTCTAGATACAGTATTTTAAGTCTCCATCAGCTTCTAAATCTC